TAAGTCTGATGATGGTGGTGGGGAGTCGAATCGAAGCGCACTTTGTAAAACTATATGATCCCAAACGAGGGGGATCATATAGTTTTACAAAGTGCGAACGTGACGGTTGACTCTACGTCTACCCGTTCCCGTAGAATGGATTTGCCGACTTGGATACCGGGCTGAACATCTCGTAGAATTTCCATCCGTCGAACACGAATGGGGTTTTATAGAAACAATAGTCGCATCTCGATACTGCTTAAATGTTCGCATTCCAGAGGTGCCTGTAGCTATAAGCTGAAGGAAAAACTGCGCCTTAATCGTGTTTGGGTGGCATCGTCGAACTCGGCCGACTCCTTTCTGATTGGATGGCCATTTTGCAACTACCTCGTGCATTTCAGGTACTGTTCTCTTTTTATGAACTTTCCTTGTTCTGTACTTGCGCGTTCTATGCTAATTCTTTTGCTATCATGGATCATTTGAACTCTATGCTGGCGTTTGATGAACATTTAGCTCTCGTTAGCCCATTTTGGAGCACTTCTATACATTTCATAGTCTTGGATGTCCTTTCAAAAGAAAGAGGTACGTCAGGGGCATAAAGGAGACTTCTAAAGAAGGTTTTCACCATTATCAAAGTGTATTACCTCAGCCTTAATATTTTGACGTTTAGTCGAAGCCATGTCCAAAAAATTTCGAAAACGCGCCGTAACTTTCACATATGAAGCCATCTACTTGACTAGCGGGCGCTATCACAAGATACGGGGGCATTGTTGTGACAATGCATGATGTCGCGTAAGAGCATTTTCTTTTCAAAAACTGGACTAAGTCCTAAGCGGGGTAGGAAAGACTTTAGAATGCTCAAGCTGTTCTCATTTTCCTTAAGTTCCTGCTACCTCTTAAGCTTAGTCCTTAGTTGGATGCCCTGTATTTTGCGATAGCGCCGATTAGCGTTTATGGCGGACTTTTTTCATGAGCATTTCTAAGATACTGGATTCGTGCACATTCCCTTATCCCTAAAAGTGTACTTCAACCTGTGGGTGACGAATTCTGATCTGGTTCTAATCGTACGAACAAGAAGCCCATTCACTGTAGGTGGCTATTGGGAGGGTGCTAATATCGGGGTTGGTCTGCATAAAGTACCATTCGATCAAACAGGTTAATGGCTCAGTGGTGCGGAGACAGCAGTTGTGGTTAGATCGTGCATGTAAGTCCGATGTCAGACTTTGCGAATCGAGCGATTCGCTAGCGTCGCGGTCGCGTTGCGGTACCAGCCAATTCGAGTGATTCACTGGCCGCGACGCGACCGCAGACGCTAGCGAATCGCTCGATTCGCAATCTAACATGGGGGCGAGGCTTGATTATAATCTGAATTGAAGCGCACTCTGGGCTTTCTGAGCTTGATTCAACGCATTACTAGCTCATTACCACTAACACAGAAATCATGCACGTTAGCATATTCCCTTTGAAGCCACCCTTAGGATCGAAATGTGTTCTACTACAGGTTTTTTAAGAAATCGTAGTGAAAAAGAGGAATGGTTCGAGTTGTTCTCCTACTGCGTTCAACAATGCCTTCGACCTCTTTCGACTACGATTACAATGGACATTAACGTGCGAGGAAGAAAACAGGTCAGTTACCTAGGATTCGTTTAGTTCTTGTGAGCGTGTTCTTATGCGCCGGGCTTGCCACCGGTTCAGTTACACCTGGACGAAATCGTTGTCATGGAGTTTCTTCCTAAAGAATTCTGAACTATTCATCTTCTCTCCTTGAAGCTTCTCCACTGCCTTCGTATAACTTCGTATAATGTATGCTATACGCTATGTTCAGGTGATTCGTCGCCGCATCGACAATGGCAAAAAGAGCGGTGAATTGGTAATGGAAACTGCGGCCGACCTTGGATTGTCACATACTTCTTACGAACTGAGGCTTGTCGTCGGTGAGTGCCGAAAACCGCAGTCGTTACTACTTAGTTAGTGTCCTTGGACCATGAGGGTCTCGTTGCAGGAGACGGATCGGGAAAGACTTTAGCAAGGGCCGGAGAATGTCTACGTGGTCATAATGAGTGAAATCGAGAAACAGGGCATACGGTAAGTAGAGCTTCGTACAAATGTTTCACCTAGACTTACAGTAGCTGTCAAAAGTGTTCCCGAAGCGCTTCTCTATTTCCATTGATGCCACTTGATACAAAAACCTAATAAAATATCTTGAAGTTTTCGTCTTTAAAGGAGGATTGCACGGAAAGAACGAAGGTCGAAGAAGGGAGAAATCGCCTAGTGGGGAGAGCGGTGAATCTCTTGAGGGTGCGGACAGACACGCAATCGGCATCGAAAGATTTGACCTCTGAGATCTAGCATGGCTCAAAGTTGGCGAGTTCGGCGATCTCCGCCCACCGATCGTCTGATCACTCGCCGTAGTACAATAGGTGGCGAGTGATTAGATAGCTGAGAGAGCGTAGGGTTGAAGAGGGCAAAGCGATGAGAGTCCCATCAATGCTCAAATCAACGGACAAGGAAGGGGTCCCATTTCTCCGGTTCTGGGCCGTTTTTCGTGGTTTCGCTTTCTTTCTGGTACTACTCACCATCTCTACCTCAATTTGGAATGGGTTGCTTTTCCATCGTAAATTCGTCCTTTAATGTAATGTCAAGGTTTGGAACGCGTAAAAAAGCATGTCTTATCAATATTTGAAGGGGACCTTTTGGGCGAGACAAAATAATGTACGAAAAAACGTTTCAGCGAGCACTTTTGACCGCAACTGACTATGATTTGTCGACATTCTTCCACATTTCCAAAGTCTGACATCGGCCTAACGGGAGAATGCTCTGAGAGCGAGCTCCTCGAAAGTAGTTCACTTTTTCCTGTGTGAAACCGTGCTTGGGCAGGTAACTGAATTCGAACTAACTCCTTCCCAAGCTGGATGGGTGGAGCACTCTTGGAAATTCCCATACTTCGTTATTTGACTACCAAATTTGCTCAGAATGTAACGCTTTCCAAGGTCCGACTGAGAAACTATGTTGTGCCAATGAAACAAAGAGCAAACTGAAGTTGAAAAGTGCACCCGTGAACAAATAGAAAAGGCTTGGCGATATACGATATAGTCGTTCTTCGAATCAATCAAGTCTCACTATTAGATTGATGGGGGTGAGAGGAGGGTCCTGTGACGCTTTTTTATTTTTCTTCTTCAATTTCCTGAGGAAATTTTGGGTAGAAGTTATGGACGCTCATGCCTTTGGAGTGTTGAGGGGGGGAGGTATTCGAGTGTGTGAGTCACTTACAGTACTTGGGACTACGCCTTAGAGAGGAGAATGGAATTCGGTGGGAGGATGTGAGACTTTTGTGATCTCCTCGGCGTTTCTCCCCTCTCCTGGGCTTACTCAATCTGATCTGAAACTCCTAACCCATCCATATAAGTGCCATAACAACATAGAGTTTAATTTTCTTCCCGCCGGGGTTCCACCCAGCGGGAAGAAAAAGTGCCATAACTGATCACCAAAAGAATCCGGAATCCTTTAACCAGTAGTCGTCTTTTTTTCAAATCATTGTCTACTCGGAACACCACCATGGTAATGACTTCACGATGACGACCAGCAACACCTGCCACGTTTCCATTGGAAAAGCCATTCCTTTTAAGAGCGTATTCCTCCGGCGCCATTGTCTTCGCTCTTGACAACTTTCGCTCCAGATTTCGTCCACCTGACCCTTTCATTGCTGAAGCAAAGCTCGCCTGGAAAATCATAATATTAGCTGGTACAGCAGCGCGAACTCTGTCATCGGCTTAAGGCGGTAAGGGAGAAGAATTCTCCACGTTCAGCCTTGATGGCTGGGAAAGCATAGCTGTCCACACATTAACGAGATGGTCACCCTGGCCTTGGGTAGAGTAAGAGGCTCGTTGATTTAATCTTACCATCCATGGTATGAGTTCCTCACAGTAGAAACGATTCTCGTAGCGTTCCGATGAAATATAGCAAGAATTTCAGAACTGTTTCTTTCCGATCATTCTATTAGGTTGGAAAGAAAGTCCTGCAACACTTTTTCAAATTTTTGATTTTAATTTTATCTTTTTTGGTTACAACTCCTGACCGGTCTTATATCTACCATGAGTGTCCACCACTTGTCTCCATCGCTCAGAAAATTTCTTGATCCTCCTTGCCAAAACCCAGCGGAGTGCGAGTCGAGAAAGGAGGCGACCTCACTTTCGAGTTGGAGTTGATCGTCTGATTATTTCGTTATAAAGATGATGATTAAAGGTCCAGGATAGGTAGCACTTATTTACAGCTCGACCAGGGGATTACGCTAAGAGAGGAAAGAAATCTTGCCGCAACTCCAGAATTTCTTACCGGGCTCATTTCGGATCATGGTGATTCGCAATGTCATGAAAGAAATGAATATTGTCGCGGTACGAGGGCTCTTGACGAGCTACCTCGGCCAGCTTCTGGTACTCCACAACCTAGGCCACTGCCTACACAATGGTGCCCATAACGAAGGGTATGTAGTGGAGCTTCTGTAAGAGCCCTACCTGTAATGGAGTGTGAGGGATGCTGCTGGCTTCTTATAAAAATATCAAAAGATCGGAAGCGCTGGTAAAGGTGAAACACGCTGTAGCGCTGAACGGCATGCCATTAGAAGCTATTGCAGATAGTGTCAGTCGTTGACACGAATCCATGGTTTTGTAGACATTTGTACTAGACAGTGACTCGGAGTACGGATTTGCTAGTGGTCGAGATTTTTTGAATTTTCTTGGATAACTACTGACTGCAGAACTTATATCCACCTCGTGGATTGAAGCCTTGAGAATGCTCTATCATTTGGTAGTCATAAATGTTACCTATGAATTTTTCAGAAAAAAAGAAAATTTTGGAAAGAGTGTTGCAGAACTTTCTTTCCAACCTAATATCTGCAATATCAAGTTTTCAGTAGATTAGCTGATTGCGCTTTTGCGCTGTTTGAATTGCTTGTCTCTCCCTACGTGGTGCTTCTTGATTGAAGGCTGCTGACTAATTGGTCTGAATCGTGATTGAAATCTTCAACTTTTTAGGCTGTCCGATAGCCAACGACAATCGCTAGATGCTTGTCCGATCGCGAACGCTCGGCTGATTCTTTCAAATATCAAGTCATCCAAGAGCTCGTCGCCAATGCAAATCGTCAACAATATAAAGTTTGTGATTGCTTACCTTACAGAATCCGTGCAGGGTATATGACCGTGGGAGACTTGTGCTCAGGAATTCACAATTATTCCCGGCTAGAAGAAACGTGTTTACGCTTCGATTCATGAAATAGTTTTATGGCGTTATTTACGGTTCCACTAAGTGGAGTTACTGAAATTCATATGAGAATCCTTATTTCTGCCGAATTTACGCGCGTCGGATTCGAAACAAAATTGGTCTCAAAGGAAGGGAAGGTCGAAGTGGCCATTTGTAACGAGACATACACCACTAGATGTGTTTTTGGACGCTGATCTCGAATCTGCTCTCCAAATCTGCGAAACGATTCTCTGAACGTAGTTATGAAGCGAGATAGTGCAGTGGCAGCGGCCCGGGCCGACGAGCAAGAGGTCGTGAGATCGACTTCTTGGCGAGTTTTCAGCTGCTTTTCTTGAAACCGTTGTTCAAAAACACATTTTAGTGGTGTATGTCCCGTTACAAATGGCCACTTCGACCTGGTATCCTTCCTTTGTTAGGTGGCTGAGATCGCCTTGAAGCATGTTCGATAAAAAAATAACCACTTCAAGTTTGAGAACTGTAATGGATCCCCAGTGGTGAAGAGACGATAGGGCTCACGGGCAGTCCAGGATGGGCATGATTCTGTCAGAGGCGACTATAGCACCGCCTAAGTGATATTCAGGGTTAACCGTGCGTGGCGAGTGGTTCTCAACGAGGGGTCATATTCGATTTTTTCGATGGGGACGTATTGGAGTTGGTGAATCAAAAAGTTGGGAGGTGGGTCGTGTTTTTGGAAGTTAAAGGGGCCATGATCGTGGTAGATAGGTGTTGTTTGAGATGGGTTTTTTGAAATTTTGGGGGAAATTCGAAAAAGTAAGCGATGTGGTCAAATAGAGAACTTGCTGCTTGACCATAAAAATTTACCCCCTCCCCCATCTCCGCTCAAAGGGTATTTTGGAAGAAAAAGTGGACTGAGTTGGGGCGTGTCGATTGCCCTCGGAAACAATACTATAGAAACCAACGGTACCGGTTGGAAGTAGTGAGGGGATTTGATCGAATCCTGTATAAGAGGGGGTCTTTAGAATCGGAACAAAGGAGGGTTGACCCTGGTGATAGTGAATAAATAGAGGCCATAATCTGCAACTTCTTCCTACACTTTGCCTATTTTTGCTGCAGTCCCCTCATACGCAGGCCAATACTGAAATGCTCTCAATGCATGAAAACCACTTGTTGAACATCATTGCCTTCAGGAAACGTGTGATGCAACGGACCGATTCCCGTGGAATCTTTGGACGGGAGCTGGATGGTCCCACTCCACCTCAACCGGTGATGAGTATCGTTGATCACCTAAGAATGCACGGCTATGACATGGAAGGAGTGTTCAGGTCAGCTCGCCTTTTTGTTTTTCAGTTTGAAGGGGCACAACTATCGCTGTCGCTTTATACTGTACTAAGAATAACGAACCACTAATCGCCTTTGTGGATGTGAAAGTTTCAACCTTGATATTGACTTATGATACGTCTCGGCATTCCTCCTCTCTTGCACTGTCAGCGATGTCCTTGCATTTATCACGGCGGTGAAGGTGAAGCAAGTGTATAAGAGGTAGTTGCGCCTAGGCCTCAGCGAAATCACAGGGCTTGCAGGTTTAAGTGAGGCAGGTGGCATGGCGCATATATGCGAAAGGTAGAGCCGTTAAACTGAGAGTAAGGGTTTGGTCTTCGAGCAATTTCGTTAAAAATACTAACCAGTTCCAGCCGGGGCCAACCGTTCGCTAACACTATCCCAACGAGGAAATCGCATTTGTGATTTGGGGAAGGTATCGCATTTTTGGATTGAGTCAGGTGAACTACCTTGCGAAAGTCGCAGAGCCAGTGAGGAGGGGTGTCTTATTGGGAGAGCCTTCAAAGTCTCATGGTAGGGGGTCGCATCGTAATCTCCCACGTGGAGGGGTCGGAATAAGTTACCATTAGTTGGATTGACGGAGGTCGGTTTAAGGAGTTGTGGTTTGAGAGGTTTTTTACGATACTGGCTGAAAGTTTTCCGGGTTTCACGACAGAAGTATTAGGTGCATGGTGGATTCACCCGCTTCATGAATACCCAAATTACACTCCCTCCCCGGCTGCGTCGACGGCCGTTTTGGAGAAAAAGGTGGTGGTGGGGGGGGGTGGTTGTAGAGTTTGTGCAGTGTTACTGGTCGCAGATCAATGTACTATAGGTGATTACCATTGTAGCGATACTGGGGTGGGGGGCGGGTTGGAGGATGGGTCGTATTGAGGGGCTTTAAGACTGATGGTGGATGGTTGACCGAGATCAAGACCTCTCTGAGGTGGGTTGGGGGGTTAGGGGAGTTCCAAGGTATTTGGAAAAGTGCGAACGTGACTGTTGACCCTGGCTCCAGCGGCGATGGTTTTATTAAAGGCTAAAGGGCGAGAGTGAAAAGAAGCAAGTTGAACAGTTCTCACTGCGTTCAAACACCTCACTTTTCCCCACCCCTCCCCAAATGAAACTATGAAGATGAAATAGTGGGAGCAGTTGATGGCACAGCTGGATTATAGATGAGAAATGTTAGTGAGAAGGTATAGCTACCAGTGGGGATAATCACAAATCGATGTCAGCATTCTGAAATCAAAAAGTAATGCTGTTCTGGATATCTCTACCTCTCCAACCGAGGTCATCCCACCATTTTTCTCATGAGACGTGAAACTGTGAACAACTTTGACCCATAACCCGGTTCTTGAGTCTAATCTCAACCCTTCCAGTTTCACATTCCTGGGGCAAAAACACTAGTCCACTGGCAAAGTTATCATGTCGGATCAGCTTGCTCTTGTATTACTATGTTTGATTTTTTTCCAGGAAATCTCCAAAGCAAAGCACTCTGAGGGAATGTCGATCGGAAATTGAACGTGGACTCGTTCCCGATTACAAGAAATACGGAACGCATGTTCTTGCATCAGTTTTGAAGGTAAATTCATCTGAGAACACTAGTTAGAACTTCGTTCACTTCTTAATATTTTGACTTGTCTTGTCTTGAAGATTATAAGTTCAGGAAAATAGGGCGGTATACCGTAACGCTTTCGTTCTCACTGCATTAATTGCCTAATTTTCAAACAAAATAACACGCCAGTTCGATCCCGACTCGTGCTTTCAATCTCAGTGCTGTTGCTGATTGAGTGGATATTTCAGGATTATTTGCGGAGTATCCCGGGAAAAATACTTCTCAGTGGCAATTATGACTTGTGGATCAAAGAAGTTGTGGACGAAACGGATCACGAGAAGAAGGTCACTACAATTTATTCATCGGATTGAAAATTTTTGCCTTATTTTGACGAGAAGAGATTTCCTAAAAAAACACCATCCATTTACAGATTTCCGCCTGTAAAACCCTTCTGGGGATTCTCCCGAAGGCACATGCCGTGTTGCTGACCAATGTTCTGAAGCTGCTCAGCAAAATTTCTAATTCTCCAAGCTCCAAGATGACCGCTTCAGCGCTGTCAGTCTGTCTGGCACCTAGTTTCCT